TTTTTTAATATTGTGTTAAAGTTGTAACTGTATAAGATCAAAAAGGTTGTTGATAAGTTGTATTGTAGACAAACTGTTAGGCATCAAATCGAAATCTTACTGCACTCCTTTATTTCAGATCCCATCGGACATTAGAGATCGCAAGGTCACGACAGCAGGTCCCCAGACAGAAAGAACAAGTTGATAGCACTTACATAAACTCAAACTGGTTCCTATCTCGAACAATTGATAGCACTTACATAAACTCAAAACTGGTCCCTATCTCATTCAGGCAACCACAAATAAATTAGAGCGTAGATATAAAATTTATCAACTCACTGTTACTTTTTCTATTGGATCATGTTACTAGTTAAGTTTTAGTTTACATTGAGTTTTCAGGCACACCTGCCAAACCTCTCTTAAGGTTTTCTCCTTTTTTCTGTTGTCCTCACTTGTGCTCTATTCGGTGGATCATAACCCCCCCCCCATTTTGTCAACTCCGCGTCTCTGCCGTGTTGATTTTCTCGTCGCTGCCTCGCACTCGCCTTTTTTTCGTTTTCCACCGACGGTTCTTGGTGACCTCTCCCTAGCCGTTCCCGACGGTACATCGTCTCCTTCGCTCGCCGCAATCTTCACCGGTTCGTTTCGTTCGATTTCCCACTCGCTATCTTCGTCGTCCTCGCTCTCGTCCGCACTGTATTCTACTATACGTTGTTTCGTCGATCTTCGCGCGTTCTCCATCTCGACCCGATTCTTCTCGGCTCTTCGCTTACTTTTTGTGGGTTCACTTGGGCCCGGGGTACTATGTACTCTTTTACTAGTTCCTGGGGTGCACGCATCGCTTCTATTATCAATTAGGCTTTCTTCGGCCGCCGATCTAAAAGAAACACCACTCCGCCTTAGTAACGACCCTTTTTCCATCTGCACCGTATGCTTAGTCAATTTTTCAATTTTTAATGGCAAACGTTTATACCTTTTTGGGTCCTTTGGACCCGTTTTTCCAGTCCTTTGGTAAACGGTCGTTGAGCTGGTCTTGTGCTTTTTGAGCCATGTTGGAGCTTTGGGTTCAGATCTTATTTCCTTGGGGTCAACTACTTCCTGAGCCTTGGGATCCGCTACCACCTCGTCATCAAAAATGATTGGAGCTTTCCTATTTTGTGGAGCGTACACCAAAATGCTTATCTTCTCCTAATCTAGGGTGAGCTCTACATCCGGGAGATTTCCCGCCTTGTCTAAACAAGATAACTTTTGGTTAACAACATTGTTCCAATTTAAATTTTTCAATGACGGTTTTTTCGTTAAATTTCGCAGAGCCGTATTTGCTTCTCGTCCATGATAGGCTTCAAAAGGCGTTAATTTAGTCTTAGAGTGTGGTACAAAACGTAACGCGCTGAGCGCACGGGATATCATTGCTCCAAACTTGTAGTTCTTTTCTTCCTGAAGATAAGTTAACACGTAGTTTTTTATCGACCCAATTGTTCGTTCGACCATTCCTGTCGCGCAATGATCCCTAACCGGAGATTTATTAAGTTCGATACCTTCGTAGTTACTGAAGTTTTGAATTTCATTTGAGAAAAACCCAGTAGCCTGATCCATATGCAATTTTCTTGGGTGTCCATGAGTATTTATGTACTTCCTTAGGAACTTCAATACATTTTTGGACTTGTTACTTGAACAAACATACGCCGACGGCCAATGCGAGAAAGTATCTACTGCTACAAGTACATACTTCTTGCGACCCCTTACGTAATTGACTGGGCCCCAGAAATCTAATTGGACTAAATCATTCGGTTCCTTAGACACATAAGTTTCCCCCATGTCACTTTTTGGAATGTCCGGTTCAAGGTTTTTACCTGCTTCTAAGCAACTTTTTCAGTATTTTGCTGTAGCAGCGATGTTGCGATGCATAAGAGGAATCCACACGTCTTTTGCGGCTGCAAACAGTTTGTCACGCCCATGATGGTTATAGTGTAGACGATTGAGGGTTGCTGATGACAGATCCTTCTGTATTGCTAACCGGCCGTCCATCCACAGGCAATTCTCACGTACTGCAAAATCGTTGTAGTGTTGAACGTAGTATTGTCCTAATCTTGTTATTATCTCCTTTGCTTGTGGGTTTTTGTCTCTGATGTTATCCCTGATGGTCTTCATAATTGGATCTTTTTCAATGTTTGCTTCTATCAGTTTTAAACTCAGAACTTCCGGGTGTTCAATCTTTTTCACTATTTTACTGTCTGATGGCACTATAGAATAGATCCATTTTTCGTTCTGTACAAGTGGGTAGGATAAACCGGGGAACTGGTGTGGAAAAGAGATGATCGTGTTTAATTTTTTAGAATTAGTCTGTTTTATATCAAGTTTTTTGGGTGGAATCATTTCTGTATCTGAATCCGAACTAACACTGGGAGGTTGATTTAATCGGTTCAGTACAACGTTGAGGTTCACATTTCCAGAGTTAGTCGATGTGTTGACGATGGCCGAAGTTGGTGGATCATTTTTTTCAGGCAAATTACTCATGTTCTTATCGTTTAAGTTACTCAAGATATTCAGAATTAAGGGCTTGCTACTGTAATTTTTTAAAGTAAAAGGCTTGTCACTGTAATTATTTAAGATTGAAGGCTTGCAACTGTAAATTTTCAAAATAGGAGGCTTGCTATTGTAATTATTCAGAATGAAAGGATTGCGATTGTAATTATTCAAAATTGAAGCCTTGCAACTGTAATTTAAGCAATGAGAACAAAGTCTGAATTTCTTTCTTCGGTATTTGCATATTTCCGCCGGTATTCAAATATCTCGACGCTGATTGGTTAATCGCCGGTTGCATGTAAACACGCCCTCTATTGAGCGTTCGTGCTCACGGTGAATATTTGCATATTCATGATTTCTTTTATTCTCATTGGATGAAACTGATTTCGTTGTGTCGAAACATGACTTCTCGCCCCCGTACCGTCGGTTTTGGCCTAATTTTATTCACTTTCTGACCCCTAGGTTTCATTTTATCGTTGGGCTTCAATGCCGCGTTTATCATCCTTATCTTCGCTACTGTAAAATTTTCATCGTAATGACTTGTCTCGGGTGCCTCTGCGGACGGAAATTGAGACAAATAGTCTGCCATCCCCATTTTCGCCCCTTGTCTATGTTCAACTTTAAAATCATATGGCACCGGTCGATCATACCATCGAGTTATTTGGCTGAAGAACGTTTTATTTCCCTTCGGTGACGAATTCAACAATGTAAAAAACGCTTTGTGATCCGATCTGACTGTTAAAAAGCGGCCATATATATAGTTTCGAAAATGTTCCGTGGCCCACACTACCGCGAGTAATTCTAATTCATTTGTAGAGTACTTTTTCTCAGCCGGATTAAGGTAACGGGATGCAAACGAAATCGGATGCCACCCGGATGCGCAATACTGTTCTAACACGGCCCCTAGGCCATCGTGACTAGCGTCACAAATAATTCTAGTTTCACGATGAATGTCGAAATGCCGTAATTCGACAATATTTTCCACGAGCGATTTTAATTGTTGAAACGCATTTTCGCAAACGGGCGTCCAGACAAAATTTTTATTTTGACTCAGTAATGGTCTTAAAGGTGCGCTTATTTCCGCGAGTTTGGGTAAAATTTTGAGTAAACTGTGCAGTGAACCCATTAAAGATTTCAGCTGCTTTCGAGATTTTGGGGTTTTCAGGTCCTCTATTGCTTGTGTTTTTCTTACAAGGGGCGTGATGCCATTTTCCCCAATCCGATATCCGAGCCATTTGCACTCTGTCTTTGCAAATTCACATTTTCGTAATTTTAACGCGGCATTTGAGACGTCCAGTTTTTTCAATATCTTTTCCACCAACGCAATGTGTTCGATCTGAGTTCCTTTTGAAGCAATTAAAATATCATCTATGAACGCGTTAGCTTGCGGAAATTCCTTAAGTAAATTATCAATTACTTTTTGGAATTCCGCCGGCATTGATGTAAGCCCGTAAAATCCGTTTTTAAAACGATAGGCTCCCGTGGATTTCACGCCGACTAGTGAGAAATTGCATTGCTCGCTTGTTTTTTGTTTTAATGCGACTTGTCCGTACGCATTGTCCCCGCTTTCTTTTCCGCAATAATCTGACTTACTCCGTCGACTAGTTCATCAATATTTGGCATTTGGTACTTAATCTTGTGTACCTGCTTGTTCAATTCTCTTGATTCCAGCGCTAATTTTATACTTCCGTCTTTTTTTACTGTAATCACGATAGGGGAGACGAAATACTGATCTGAGCACTCTTGTAATTTTATGATATGCCCTTCATTTATCAGCCGATGAATTTCTTTATCCACCTTGTCTTGTAGACTGATAGGCACCCTGTGCCCTTTTTGTTTTATAGGCCTCAAATTTTTGAAAAATTCAGCTCTTACTTTCGCGTTCCGGATCTTTCCTATTCTAGAAAATAAATTTGGGTACAACTTACAGAAGTATGTTTGCAATTCGTCATATTCCTCCTCCTCTTGACTGCTCCCTTCCCCTGTGATTCCCATCATTTTCTTCCGTTGAACTAACTCGAGGCCCAGGGTGCCCATCAGACCGCGCCCCAGGATTGACTGATGATTTCCGGATTTTACCGACACTTGTGCTGGTGCTGCCCAACCGTTTAACGACATCATCACTGCTACCTTTCCCAGTATGTTTATTCGGTTGTTATTGTAATCCAAGAATTCATCTTTTGAAGGCTGTAGTGGAATATTCGCCTTACCTAACGCTGTTTTTAGGTCCGTTATGCTAAAAATCGTCACTGGGGATCCACTATCTATCCACAACCACATCTTCCTTCCTGACACCTCAAACTGGACTCGGGCCCCAGGGATCTTCAGTTCAGTCTCACTCTTCTTCCTTTTTATTGACATTATCATGTAATCATCCGATCCTGACGTCATGGATATATTTTCCCCGCTTCCCTGCTAGTTCACCCACGACACTGGATTTTCATTCAAGTCAATCACATTCTGCGTACTCTGATGATGCTCATTTTCATCTCTAACTAAGCCGACTCGTCCTCGTCCTCTCCATTGGTTAGTACCCCTCCTAACTCCTCGACATGTTCGTTCAAAATGTCCCAGTTTTCGGCACGAGTTGCATGTTGCTCCCTTCGCAGGACAGCTTGCAATGTGGTCAAGGGTAAAATTTGGTGCATCGCAATTATAACACCTACGGTTATTGCCGCTTCCCCCACTACTTGGTCCTTGGGTGTATCCTCCACGTCCCCCGCGTCCTCGACCTCGGAAAAATCCTTGTCCTCTTCTTATGTTATTTACCGGTTCCTGTTTTATTGAAATTGCCGGAGCTGTTGAAGCTGGTTTTCCCGTATATGATTTGTATGCGCGCTCACCACGTTCATATGATAAGGCGATCCGGCAGACTTCCTCAGGTAACTTTGTTGATCGTGATAATTCTCGTTGGCAATCCGATTCCCGCATATTCATAATGAAAATATCACGAACATTTTCGGCCGCATTTGCAAAATCACACCCACCTGCTAGGGCGCTTAATTTCGCGTGGAATTTTTTGAACGTTTCTCTCTCACGTTGTTTTCGTCCGTAGAAAAGTCCCCGTTCATGAGTTACATTCCGCTCACGTTGAAAAACACTTTGCATCCCATCAAAGACCCGTGGGTACCGTACCGTTTTAATATTACCACCGGTTTTCGTGCTTTGAATATCCGTTGCGCCTCGTCTCCGATACAAAGATATAGATTAGACTTTAACTTCTTTTCCGAATCGAGACGGTTTTTCCCATTGACTTCCTCAGGCAACGCCGTGATAGCCGCCGCATTTAAAGTACTCGCAAAATAGAAATCATTGGGATCAATGTCGTATTTTGCTATCATCCCCCAGTGAAATTTAATTATCCACTCCTCCCAGTAAACTGGAAGTTCCGGTGTTCGTGAATCCCAAAATGCTATTATATTTAGTAGATTTCCCCCCTTTTTTCTCTGCTCGCTGCGCCATGTTGAAGTCGTAACTGTATAAGATCAAAAAGGTTGTTGATAAGTTGTATTGTAGACAAACTGTTAGGCATCAAATCGAAATCTTACTGCAGTCTTTTATTTCAGATCCCATCGGACATTAGAGATCGCAAGGTCACGACAGCAGGTCCCCAGACGGAAAGAACAAGTTGATAGCACTTACATAAACTCAAACTGGTTCCTATCTCGAACAATTGATAGCACTTACATAAACTCAAAACTGGTCCCTATCTCAATTGTGAGTTGATAGTGTTTAATGTAAAAACGCAACAAAACACTTGTCGCACTGATCTGTTTAGCACAAATGCGATCACTTAATTCATTAGCCTATTTCTAACTTTTTCCTGGAGTTAATTTCTTTGTTTTTCTCTAATCTGGGTAAAACTATGCAGCAATTTTGAAATGAGCTTGAAAGTGTTACCAAAAAAAAAATTTTCGGCTTCTTCGCCTAATTTATAAATCGATTAAAAGTGGAAAAGGAAGCAAAAACATTTAGAAAGAGTGCTGAAATTTGATTGGCTACTTCTAGCCAACCAGATTTAAGTAAAACTTTTCCAGTTCCAAGTGAAATATCGATTTTTGAGCAGAAAAACTAATTAAGACCCGAATTTTTGTTGCGGTTGACAACTGAGTTTTTACAGGTGCTAATGACTATACTTTTTATTGTTGGAAAGACAAGATTTGTGCTAAAAACATCTAACGCTGCGACGGTTGGAGCCACAAACAATACTGATAGAAATGTTAATTAGAATAGAAATACTGGAAACACAATTTAGCGATGTAAGCAACGATGTGTTCATCAAGTCAGACTCTCTCTCTTTTTTTAGTTAACCAGTTAGAGAACTAACCGGAAATTTAATTAATTAAAGTTAACTAAGCTTTGGCTATCCTACACGAGCTCACCTTTCTTTGGCAAGGATCCATATCTTAGATATTCTCGATTCAGTTCAAACTATTGATTTTTTCGTTTGAAAAATCGCAAAATTGTGTTGCAGTTGTTGAGAAGAGTCATGTTATTATTGTTCCGACTTTCAGTACGAAAGTAACGGAATATTTGTGCTCGGGGTGGGTTTTTTTTCTTCAGACAAATTTCGACTTTTTAACTAGCCATTTTTGACGGAATTTTTTTTTTTATATCATTCGAAAGGTATTGTTGTCTTGAGCTCAAATTTGAAAAAATATTTCAAAAGTGATCATTTTTTGTAAAGTTACGGGGGTTTAGAGATTGCCATTTTGGCCAATTTGGGACAATTAACGCGCGATATATTTCGCGCTATTAACGCGTAAGCGGAGAGTTAATCCGTCTTAGAAATCGTTCCAAATTGGTTGAAAGAAGCCTATTTGTCATAATTGGTTTGCTACAAGGAGCAAATTAATTAGATTCTTTGTACTGTATATGGCGTGTGTGTGGATGGTTTTCATAAAAAATTTTAGAAAAAATTTTTTTCATTTTTTTTAAATTTCATTTAATTTTTTAATTTTATTACTGCTCCATAAACCTTAAAAGGCAGTCGGAACATTCAGGGCTTCGCCCTGATACGAGCAGTCTTGTTATTTTTAAAATAACATAAACAAGAACTATTAATTGAGCGAAATTTTACTTAAATTGCATTGTCTCTTTGAAAATTATCGACTTGAAAGATAGAACTATCATAAAAACCATTGCATATTACGCGTATAATTTTTGTTTGGATGAAATGAGTAAACAATCATCCTCGAACAATTTTTCTAAAGTATAGTCAAATAAGCAATGAAAACCTGAAACCAGCGAAGTTTGTACCAGCTTTAATTATATTTTTTCTCTTCTTACCAAGAATAACTTTGTAGGAAGAAATGGGCCTAGTGATGATTTATCATGAAGAAAAAATCACTGAAATGTTTTTGAAAAAAAATTATTGGAGACTGAATGAAACTCAAGCTCAGGTCTGATACTTTATGAGTATCAAGCGTATCTTGCAATTTTTAAACAATTGTTGGACGTTTTTCCTTGACAAATCTGATTGACTTATTTGATCTCGTATTGCAAACTGTTTTCAATAGAAAAATGAGACCTTGATAATAAAGAAAGTTCTGGCAATTGATTAGTATTTAACCCATTTTTTGTATGGAGTTTATCTGAATCATGATAAACTCAACGTAACACTGACTTAAAGAATTTGAAGAATGGCAATTGAGATACTACAAAAAAGCTGCGAGACTGGTTGAGACTCAGATTGGAATTTGAAAATAAATTACTAAAACTGCTTTAATCTAAGCTGAACAAACTATCTAAGTTTTCCACAGGAATGAAAAATGGTCTGAATCAATTTTTTTTTCGTATAGTTATTGGTGATTTATATTGGTTTGGTTTACCGTGTAACCCTTAGTATACATTGTTCAACCATATTTCTCCAGAATTAGTTTTTGAGACTAAATAATTACAATCTCGTTCTCATTCTGACTGTGATTTCACGGCCCTACTAGCAAAAAACTTAGATTTTTCAACACTATTAGCTTTTTCAAAAAATTTTCACAAAATTTTCAGGCTAATTTAGTTTTTGGAATTTGACAGGATTAGAACTTCAAGAAATTCATCATCGTCAAAAACACTGAACCCATTTTTTGTAGTTTAGACTAATTCAACGCTATGAGAAGGGCATGTAAAATAAAAATTTTACCCCGATCTGTTTTTATTTTGATACTAGTTGGTATAAATTAGTTATTTTATTAAAAAAACGTTTTTTCCTTGCTGTGGAAATTGACTCCTTGCTTGAAAAAGGGGGAAAAACCAAAGAAATAGTGTGATTAGGTTTGAAATGAAAAAAAGTCCTACTGGCATTCATTCTCATACTTGGAGCAAACGGTTGGTTTTTGCTGCTGTCAGTAACTGAAACAGTTTATTTAGATATAAAACTGATTATTTTTCAATCGTTTAAGAGATTTCAGCAGACAACCAGGGCTCATAAACTCAGAGTTACAAATGATGTTTTACGCAATTACTTAAGCACTGCTTGGCTCAATTGGAACAATTCATCAGCCCACTTTAAACAAATCAAAACCACTTTCATTTTTTTTAAAACTAATCACAGGAAAATCTTTCTTATGTTTTCAACTCCGGTTAAAACTATTTCAACTCCACTTTAAACAAAACCTTTCCAATATCTCCTTGAAAGTTACAGCGAAATCTCTTGATTCTCAGTTTTTTAAAAGATTCAAACATGGTTCAAAAATCCAGATAAATTATTTTGAAATTCAATTGCTATTGTTGTGCTCAAAGAACATAAAGTTTACCAAAAATGCTGCCCCAATAAGTGTTGCTTTTGCTTTAACGTCTAAATCAATCGGGAAAGTCAGCATAAATGTGTCTGCGTTCGTAAGCCACTCAGTGGTAATGTCCTGTTTGATTTTGTTAATGGATCCGATGTTGTGGGTTTTGTCGGGAGTCTGGATTTGGAACTCGGCGGTCGAAGTACAACCTCCGCAGCAGTCTAAAAAATTATACTCCTTTTAGTTAATCTATTCTTTTACTCGTCTTATTTTTGTTGCAAGCAATTAAAACAATTGTTTTCAAAAACTGCAATGAGCTCAATATTTTCGAGTTTTGCAACATTAAATTATTTGTAAAACAAAATTGTAATTAATTTATTTTTTCGTTTATTTTTATTTATATCAGGAAAAATATCATCCAGATTTGTCTCATTCGAGAACATTTTTCTTGCATGTTTTTACATACAGTTTTTCGAGAACATTTTTCTTGCATGTTTTTGGAAAAAAAGCTATGTCATTACAAAAACGAGGAGACTGTTTTTTCGTTCTTCGATAAGATTTAATCTCTTATTTCTATCGGCAGGCTCTTACGGAGAGATAAAATTTTGAAAAATTTTGCAGCACAGCTAAAAATGGTTGTAAAAATAAAACTGACATATTTCATGTATCTGGTTGCGAGATTAAACCAACTGATTGTACCTTATTTCAGATTCTTTTCAAAAAAAAATAAACAACCAAGCTCCAGAAAAATTAGGCTAATGATGTGCAGCTCAAACTTCAAGAAATAAGTTATACAAGAAAAAAAACAATATCAGTTTTTCAGTCTCAATTAAGTCCCCATTAAATGCTTTTCAATTCCGAATTAGGTTTTCTTTGAACTAAGTGTTTCAATGCATATATTGTGTTTGTAAGAAATATTAAATCAAAATGCATTTGAAAAATGCCCTCCAGAGAAACCTGTGAGAATTTTTTTTGAATTCAAAGCTTAAGTACTAAACCTTTAATCGGTCAACTCAAAATACCTGAAAATAAGGTCAAACGCTTGTTGAAGTTTAAATTGAACTCGAATTAAAAGAAAACAGAAGTTATTGAAAGTAAGCATGGAGAAAGACCAATAAATTTGAAATATGCGACAAAATAAAATGAAACATGTTAAAACTTACTATCAGGTAACATGGAATTTTGGAAAACTTTTCAATCGTCTTACGAAAACTATTTTGCCTGCACAACCAAAAACTGACAAACTTGTCGAGTTATCTTTTTGCTGGAAAAAACCGCAAGAAAATGCATTGAAATTCAGAGTGGTGAGTTAGGTAAGTACTAGAACAAGTTCCTCATTTTCCAACTTTTGAAAAAAGTGAAGTAGTGTTTGTGCTCGGGGTATTTTTTCCCTGAAAAAATTGTTTTTATGATTTGGAATTTTAGTGGATTTTTTGTATCAGTCGAAACGTATTATTACACTGAGCTCTCAAATTTAAAATGGTTTTTCTGTGTGATCAATTTTGGTAGAAAAAAATTACAGTTGAAACATATATTTCAAAATTTGAGCTCGGTAAAACGGGAGTTTTTGACTGATAACAAAAAACCGTTACAGCTCTTACTAAGAATGCCGAAAATAGTCTGGAAAAAAAGCCAATTTGGCAATTTATGAACAATATAAGGCGCGAGCTATTTCGTGTTATTAGCACCTAAACGGATATATTATCCGACCTAGAAATTATTCCAAATTGAGTCGATGCATCCGTTTTGTCTGTTCAATTCGTTTTCTGATGCAAAATAAATTACTTTGTTTTTCAGCCTGCGTGTTGTGTTGGGAATGATTTCGAAAAAAAAACCCAAAAACACATTTTGCATGTCATAATTTTTTATTAGCGAGTACTACTAGAGCTTAGAAGGCCGTCGTAATACAAACAATTATGCTTTTATTAAATTTAACTTTACTTTGAAACAAAGAAATTTTTTCACAACAGTCGGCAGAGCAGTAATTCAGCGAATGAGAATTGGTCTTCTAGGGAAAGTTCTCACGTATACAAAAGACTTATTTTTGTTTAATCACCCAAAAAAAATTTTGCAGGATTCTTTACCCACAAAATGTTCATTGGTTGCAACAGTTTTCTTAATTTCAGATGTAAAAAATAATTTCGTTTGCTACTTCTCATGCGGGATGATAATCTTGAAAAAAAAGTAACACGGTCTGATCAATACGTGCCTAAAAACTGAGTGCTAGTTACAATGTCTGCTGAAAAATATTTTGAAATTTAAGCAACGCCATAACATCAGAAAAATTCACCAACAAGCCAAAAACACAGCCAGGTTTGCACAATTATGATGATATGAGCTTTTAACCCCAGTACACTTCATTATATTACATGGCTGCTGATGCCATGAAAGTCTGCAGCTTTTAATACTTGGCAATAAATTGGTTTAACTTACATAAAGTGCCGGCATCCTCGGTTGCAATGTACAGTATGAAGTTTCCTTGTTCGTTTGTCACTCTGAGTTTTGGATCACACCAACCTTCGTCGTCTCCTTTTACGAGTAACGAGGATTTAACTATCAAAAAACACTTCAGATGTTCGACCGCTTCACCAATTATTGGTGGGCTCTTTGGCGCCAACAATATAATTTAAATTTGAAGGAGAGCGCATGCCAAAAAAAGGCATTTTTTTAGTCAAAAATATCAAAAAATTACCTTGGCAGCGGTTCTGTCAGAAAAATTCCAAAAACTGCCCCTCCGTTTTTATAGTATACTTGCAGCGCTCGAAAAATCAGTTTGATCGACCAAAACATTTCGACAAAATTTTCTGATAATCCTCCCCTTTGAGAAATCCTTAGATCCACCCCTGGTTGCGACATGGTTTTGCATGATCTGGTCTTAGAACTTTGCTAGGTTGTTTACAGATTCAGTTTGATCTATGTTCAATGGATACGGAGGCTTCTACCAGACTTTTTTCTATAAAACATATAGTACCGTAGATATTTTTTTTTAGTTTGCATTCTGCAACTTGTCATCTTTACTTTTTCTGAAATTATTTAATCCTCGTAACACTATCCTGATCCCACTTTTCCAAGTACTTGGCCTGTCGGAGTTTCCACTGATAGCTCATACTGACAGTAAGCGTACTCTTTTCTATTGTGGTCACACTCTTTTCCAACTCCTGCCAAAAAGGCGTACCGAAAAATCATTTTGTAAAATATGAATGGACTTTTAAAAGGGTGAATCTTCTTTTTTGAATCGCACAGCCATTTTTCAAAAATTTTTCAATTCTTAAACTTGCAGTGCTGACAAAACCAAATTGTGGTTGGTCAGAATTTTTTTCCCATTTTTTCACTTCTCAAAGGCATTGGTTACGATTGTTATATAGATTTTATTTCAACTGACAATACTTTTAGTTCGAGTAAAAAACTGAGTACTGAAGGTAGGAGTTTTAATAAAAGTGCCAAAGGGAAAGTTTTTTGAGAGTTTGAGTTGCTGGAAAAGACGAGACCTGTATCGGATTATCTCCGAGCCGTTGTTGTCTGTGACGTGAAGAATAAATCCTCTGGACCTGGGATAGCATAATCGTTCACATGGTTCTGACTCTTCGCGAACAAAAAGAATCTGAATCATAACTTATAGATCAATTTCGTAAACATGTTTTTTGTCATTATTTTAAGTATCAATTTGAGTTTTTGTTCGAAAACTTAAATGTTAAAATTTCATGTTTTGATATCACGGTTGTGAGTTGCAATAAATCGAAAAGTTAATAACTCCTAGGTATTTTTTTCTTTTTTATAACGCTTCTTGTTTTCATTGTAAAACAGAAGCTCAAAAATGTATTTTTATGTACCTTTACTAAATGTAACATTAGATGAAGCAAGCGTACACAGTTTTTTATGAACTCCGTCTCTTTCTTTAAAACCTTTTTCCGTTATTTGATAAATTATCGATGTATTTGATGAAATAAAAAAGAGCGAAACAATTCTCCCAATTAGTCTCCCTTTGCTAA